GGCTGAAGGAAAATTTTACTTTATTTACGGCGTCACAATGAATATACTTAAAATTCTATGAATATACTTAGCACCAACTGGTCTATACTAACAATAATATTGGTAATAATAATAATAATAATAACCATCTGGCGCTTTAATGCCCAGATGTGGCTGTCCCACTTCCCCAGCCTTCCTCCTTCAATGGATGGTGTGGTGTAATCTGTTTATGTTTTTGGCTTTTTGCCAGCTTTTGTACCATTAACTTTAATAGTAATAATAATAATAACAATGATAAAAAGCTGATAAACATCTACTGTATATGGCAAAAATATAACTTACTATTGTATTATGTGTCACATCAAATATGTACACATTATTAGTAGGTATACCATGGCCATCATCAGTTACTAGTCCTCCAAACATTATTCCTTTATTTTGATTTATTTTGCTGATTGTAAAACAACTAGTTGGTGGATAACACTGTCCACTGACAGATGGAACAGTGAATTGTCCTAAAATACAATAAATATACATAACCACATACATAATATACATTCACACTTCCTTTGAAGTAAAGTATGAAACCATTAAAATCATGATTAAATGTACGCGTAGAAATCTTCACCCACACAAGTACCACACCCCTTGGTTGGCAGAAAGCTACATAGAAGGAATGCAGATGGAGGAAAACTTCCAAAAATAGGAAGGAAAGAAGTTGTTTATAGCAGCAAAGAAGCTCCACACTGATTCATAGGTGTCTATAGTAGAAGTAGCAGCTCTGACTTTAAGCTTAGATGTAAGAAGAACTGCTCAATTGCTTTTTTATGCTTTTCTTCCATTTGTTTGTATTGCATTCTGCCAACCAGGGGAGTGGCTTTTAGTCAGGCTCCGCCTTAGCTCTACCTGACTAATGTTGCTTCAGGCCTTTGATCTCGAGGTGAGAGGTAACATACAGGTTATTTATAAAGATTAATTAATAATGTCATCAACTATGACATAAAGAGACTCACCATTAGATAGATTATAAAGTAATTGTTCATTAGTTTGAACACGTCCACTCTTAAGTTGAAACTGAGGATGTTTGACAGTTGGTGTAGGACCTACCCCTCCGGCCATAAAAAGATAGTCAGTTCCTTCAAATTCCAGTGATAGCATTCCACCATAGCCATTTTTCATCCTGGACTCATCATCAGGATGCAATTGAGTCCAGCTCATGGTCAGTGTATCTAGTACACTTTTTAAACTGTTGTAGAAACAATCATCATGACCACACCAGCCAGCATAATAATAAATATTAGAACGAAAGGTGGTACAGGAGTAAGCAAGGACTCCTAATGGAGGAGTGCCTCTTGTTAGGTGAGAGGACCAGCGAGCTGATGAAAAGGAAAATGTCTCAACTGTTGAGGTCAGTTTTCTCTTTTGAGGTGAATCGTGTACAAGAGGTACATCTATACCAGGTTGGTTCCCTGCCCACAGGTATAGAGTGACTCTCCTATTACAGTTACCGGAGCTGAGTGAATAGCCCTACCTTTGAATGTATAAATACCTGTAAAGAGAAGGAAAAGAAATTAAGCCCAAGAGGGAAAAAATAGATAGAAACTAACTTTGTCCTGACATTTTTTTTTCTAATCAAAACAAAAGGGAAGTGCTAGAACATTCCCCACCCATGGCTTGGCCAGTGGCCAGCTAGCCCGGCAGCGAGACTACGGAGGATTTCATACTAATGATAGATAGGGTAGGGTCTCAAAAGCGGACGGACGGACGGACCCGCCCAGCCCGAAAAGGACGGACGGACGGACTGATGCGGACCCGACAGGACCATAAATATCCATGTAAAGGACAATCATTCATGGATAGTCTGTCTTTAAAACACTTCTATACTTGGACAATAAATTTATGTACGTATTAACTATGCTAGGGCCAATGGAAGAGGTCATGTTAGCGAAAATTTAACTTTATCAATGCCAAATTGCTACTACAGGCTGGATGAAGCATCACAATACTGAACCATCACTTGAATTCTATTTGTTATTCTTAATAGGAGTTCAGTGAAACCATTTTAATGATTTATCTATATTATTTGGTGCAAGTCTATATCTTCAATCAATATATTCAAAGAGGAATTACCATTTACAGTGAATATAAGCAGGAATACAATGTAGACTATATATATAGGATGAGTATTATTAAATAAAAACTGCAATTTTTCAGAGTAATAATTATGTTTTGTGTGTTACCAACAGCAATCTTTAGTAAATTGGTTGCAAATCAACCTGATGAGACTGTTGACTGATACTTTTATGTAAGTTATTTCATCACAGCTGTACGTATAATATCTATATTTTAGCACTATAAAATTAGGATTATATATAATGTAAGTGAAGTTGAATCCATTGTAATGCCTTGTCATTTCAGAAGCCACTAGATTTTAATTGTAAGTTCTTTTTAAAATTTATGTGTCTACAATATTAATAGCGGATTTTATCAGTTATTAAGCGTCATAAATCAATTTTTTAATTTTGATTCTATTGAAAAATATTTTACTGTGACAAAACAAGCAAGTGCTGGTATGAATCAAAATATTATTTGAATTAATGTTTTGTTGTTCAAATTGAATAGTGTGCTGTCAATGTATTTGAAAAAAAGGTAGGGGTGCACACACAGAAGTTTAACTTTTCAGACTATACAAACATACTATGAAGTGGTATGTACAAACTTACAAATTTTAGTTTATTATTGCAACAGTTTGTACCCAAACAAGACAGTTCCATTGACTGTGGTGCTGATCTGTGCAAATTATGCATATCTAATATGTTATTGTTAAAATTAATTGACTTTTAGTTTGCCTATACATCATACTGTGTTGTGATGGAGTGTTCTGATATGTTGTCCAAGTATAAATTCTATTGTAATGGTTATGCTCTGTCATAACATTGTTTATTAGATAACTTCAAAATTTTTGAGGCAATGGCTTATGACTCTCATGCTTCACAGTTTCAGGTACAATTTGCTATTGAAATGGAATATCATTTTTATATAGGTGGAAGACAATAACTATTAGCGTTGCAATCAGAGTTGCTTAGTGCTGAGCAACTCTTTACAATGATTTACAAGCATTGAAACAGGATCTGCAAAAAAAGTGTGGCATTCCTAGCCCAGGTATGACAAAAATAAATATACTAGAAGTAACTGTATAATTTTTACATTTATTACGTAGGATAGTCTAACTACTTTTTAGGCTAGATTCTAAAGCTCAATATAACTATTTCAAAGGGTCTCCTTATCTTTAAAGAGCAGTGATTTCAAGGATATTGAACTATTATTATTTTAATTGTGTAATTAAATGAAATCAGTATCTCAGTATAGTGTTGCATGCAATAGCACTGATAAAAATTAATCATAAAATTTCACTATGTTTATTATTAGACTTACACCAAATAATATAGAAAAATCATTAAAATGGTGTCACTGAACTCCTATTAAGAATAACAAATAGAATTCAAGTGATGGTTCAGTATTGTGATGCTTCATGCAGCCTGTAGTAGCAATTTTGCATTGATAAAGTTACATTTTCGCTAACATGACCTCTTCTATTGGTCCTAGCATAGTTAATACGTACATAAATTTATTGTCAAAGTATAGAAGTGTCTTAAAGACAGACTATCCATGAATGATTGTCCTTTACATGGATATTTATGGTCCTGTCGGGTCCGCATCAGTCCTTCCGTCCGTCCTTTTCGGGCTGGGCGGGTCCGTCCGTCCGTCCGCTTTTGAGACCCTACCGATAGATAGTGGTGGGCAATACTGGCAAAATGGATTCGATACGATACCGATCGATATCAGCTCATATCGGGAGTATCGATACATCGATACCGTAAAATATCGTTTGTATCGATAAAATATCGATATATCGCCCACCACTAATGATAGATAGTTTTTAGTGAAAACATAGTATCTATGGTGAAAAAAGAAGAGAGGTGACTGTAGTCCAATCATCGGAGAAGTTCCCTGCATCAGTACTTGAAGAAGTTGAAGACATTAATTAAAGGAAGCAGAGGGCGGCGACAGGGCCCGAGTGGACTGTCAGAAGGGTAGTCTGGTAGTCCAGGACTCCGGGCTGGGGACAGTTAGTCAAATCATAAATCAAATGTTCATCAGCAGAATAGGTTAGTTTAGTAAACTCTATTGTCAAAATGTATTAAGAGTTATTCCCAATTGTACCTGTAGCCCATGCGCGCAGAATTGTAATACCACTCTAGCGCTTTATTGTCGAGTAGCAAAACTTTAATTCGCTGTTCTTGCTGGTTAGCATGCAACCACAAAATAAAAAATCCGCTAAAATATCAATAAATGCCATTAAAGGTGTAGCACTAACATTGAGAATTTGCAAAAGTTATGTTTATTAATTTGCAAAAATTTTAGCTCCGTGAAGTTAAAGTGCTATAGGGTATTTTATTTTAATATTAGCCATAAATTTTAGTCATACAATTGTATCTCAGGGACAGGGTATATCATTATATAAGGGTGCACTGTATATGTCTTTAAAAACTGATACACATGCATGTACATCATAGCATTGTACGGTGTACATATGTATATGTTATAACACCCCTGCAAAGTACTGATAAATGTGATATACCGTATCCCAAGTGGGGGTGTTATAGCGAATTTATGTCCTTGCCTAAGCCAAACTTCACATACTGCACATGCACAGGTGTCACATCAACTCACATGCTACCTACCACAACCATGTGGGATAAGAAGGAGGCAAGGAGATGGCTGCTCTGAAAAAGATGAGGCCGTACTTTCCACAGTAATGACAGTCCGAAGAAGACCCCCATGCAGGAGTATCAACATTAACTTAAATTGCCATAAAGAGTGTAAGGTGACGATGCACTGATAATGACAACTATGATCCAACCAGCACCTTTTGTAGAGCCTTCAGGTTTATAAATTATTTGTGGTCCATGACTGCTTTAGTCTAGCTGGTCCAGACCCTCTGCTGCTTCTGGCCAAATTCTCTGGCATCATATAGATGCTCAATGATTCCAACTCTATGTCAGTAGCTTAAGCAAAACGGCCAGCACTACCATGTCTCCATTAAACTTACTGCAGTCCTTCTTCCGTTAAGTGACAAGTTTATTTTTATTGTTCTTTTTTCAAATCACTGTGTTCTATATTTTTAAGTCTATTTCTTTGTTCTATTACGCTATGTAAACTGTTAACCACGAGCAGGGCTTATATCAAACATCAAAGGGATTTTAATATCATGCCCTAGCAATTTATCAGCTGCAGTGTCTATATAAGGTACATTATAGAGATACAATTAAAAGTAGATTTAAATTTTGCATTAGCTGCGATGTATTGTTTATGTATTTTGAATATACATGTACATGTATATACATGTATTTTTGTTCATAGGATGTTAGAATTTGATTCTTGATTATGATCAGAAGTATCAGAACATTAATGGCTTACCGACCAAATCATGTGTAGGGAGCAGAAAGAGAGTGGAGGAGGGAAAGGACAAGAAAGACAAAGAGATGAAGAAGGATGAGGAGATAAAAAAGACTAAAGACAAGAGGAGAAGAGGGAGAGGAAAGAGGCAGAGAGAAGTTAGAGAAAAAAGAAAGAAAGGAGTCTTTAAGAAAAAGACGAAGGAGTACAAGAAAAATGATAAAATTTTGACTCAAAATGAGAGAGGGAAATCACTGAGTTAGATCTACATCAGCTAATACTGTTGAGGTCACTCCTTTAGTTACAGCTGAAGATAGACTCTCTATTTCAGATTCTGGGTCAGAGGTAAATTCTGTGACATCCCATTTAAATGATATTAATGTGTGTACATGTATACGTAAATATCGAGACAGTGGGAGAAAGAGGTGAAGATGGAGGTGAGGAAATTTAAAAAAAGACAGAAGGAAGAAAGATGGGGTTGTTATAACTAATGTAATCATCTAAATTTTAATACTGTAGGTAGGTACATGCAATATGTACACGTACATGCATGCAAGTTTATGCATATGTACATGCACAAGTATGGTATCTGCATGCATGTAGACTTGTATATGAGTACTTTACACTTTATTATTATAAACTAGACCATTGTAAAACATTGAAGGGGCGAGCCTAAGCAAGCGAAGCAATGTACATACATGTACAATAGATCTTGACAGACTAACATACATGTACAATACTCAAGCACTATTGTGCAACCATGAGATATTAGAGTGGTGCAACTAAGCAGGCTCAGAGCTCATGGATGCATAGTTCTTGATGATCTACCTTTGTATTCTCTGCAACAATTAAAACTACCTTGCTTATAGCCTTTAGCAAGCATTAAAGTTAGCTAAAAGCAGTCATTGCACAAATAATAAAGCTAGATAGGCAACTGTCTGTAGCAATGTAGTTTTTGGCTTCTTGCATACTTTAACATACATTAAGTTAATTCTACTTCACAGGCTGAGGCCTGTGATTGACATTCACTTCGAATTCATCAGAGTAATTTACATCAAAGAAGAACATGCATGTCTGCTTTCTTAACCTTCCTTGCTGCATTTGGACAGAAGTACAGCCAAATCAGTCTTGCAAGAATTTCCAGTTTTGATACTGAGCCGCCATTTTATTTCACTGTGGCCACACCCGTTTTCAATGAAATTATCAAGTTTATTAAAAAGTAGAAATTTTTTCATACGGATAAATAGGGATAACATATGTGTACAAACATACTTACATACTCTTCTCGTTTATGTGGGGCTCGCTCAGGCTCGCCTCAATAATTATTGTTTGAATGCATTGCTTAATGCACACTGTGTAAACATCAAAATACCGTATAAGTGGTTTTTTTCGAGGGTTGCAAATTTCGCAAATTTTGCAGATTCCCTCCTGATTCGCGAAATAAAATCTGCGAAAATCAATTTAATACGGTACCCGTATGGCACATGTGGTAGAATTTGCGAAATTAAAATACACGAATTAGAATTTTAGCAGATTTCGCGAAATATAATCCCTTCGAAAAAAACCACTTATACGGTACTTTTACTTTTTATATTTCTTTCCCTCCCCTTCAGATTTGGAGTGATGTTATGAAGAACTAAAAAGAGATCTCAAGAAAGAATTTAAAATTTATTCATTCACTCGTGTTGCGTGGAATCCCTGGACCAATGAGAGGAATGGACCTTTAGTTGGCAACTGCTAGTAGGCACACAAACCATGCATCATGACACTAAAAGTGCAATACCTTTCAATAATAATAATATGAAACCATTGTAATGGAGGATTAATAGGAGAGAGAGAGGAGGAGAGAAAGGGAATTAAACAGAAGGAGATTTCGTTACATGTAGTGTACATTAATTATGCTAGTAAAATTAGTCATTATTTGATTGATTTGGTTCACTTATATTTCTGTTATTATATTTTATTGCAGGAAAATTATCTTTTTGAGACACTTATATTTAGAAAGAAATCCTGCTAGAACATTCCCAGAGCATCCACTCTTTAAAGAGAAGGACCTGGAATTCACTTTTAAACCATTATTATTAAAGTAACGAGAGCAGGGTTGGGGCGAAGTACATTGGTACTTGTACTTAAGTGCACTTAAGTACATATTTTTTGGTACTTGTACTTATACTTAAGTCTTTTTTAAATTTTACCAATGTACTTGTACTTATACTTAAGTATTAGTCTATGTACTTGATGTACTTGATGTACTTATAAGTCTTTTAAGTACTTTTAAGTCTTTTTAAGCACAGATTGTATAATGTGTATATTATTACCACAGCTAGTGTGATTACATGTACTTTCAATACTATATCAGTGTATCATAGAAAGCAAGTGCAAATTCTAGTATCACTACTTTGTCTTTAGCTGGGTAGTTGGCCAGTCTTTTCACTTATTTCTAACTGTAACTGAACAGGAGCTCATGTTTTGAAGATTAATGTTCATTACATGTAATAGTAATTGATAGTAATATAATTAAATCGACTCTAAAAAGTACTTACACTTATACTTAAGTACATATCCAAGTATTTGTACTTATACTTAAGTACTTTTGTCAAAAGCGATCATGTACTTGTACTTATACTTAAGTATTTTGTAAATGTACTTGGATTTTACTTAAGTACTTTACAAAGTACTTCGCCCCAACCCTGAACGAGAGACAGATAGAGAAGGAAGGTTAATAAGTAATCCTAACACTACATATAATAAACATATAATTATTATATAACATACATATATACATAAAATAATAAATTAAAGTAAGGCCAAGTGGTCACTGTACTTTCCTAAAAATGATCCACAAATTCCTAATACATACTGTAACAAGTGTCATTTTCTTTCTAGTCAATTTTAGGTATATTCTGTTTATGACCCAGAGGTGGGCTGCTGCCAATCGAGTTTGTGTATTGCTGGAATAATGAATGTACATGTATGTCCACTTCTCTCTCTCCTTTTCTCTCTCACTCTTTTTTATCTTTAATCTCTGTCTCCCTTCCTTTCCCTCTATTATTGTTTTTCTCTCCTTGTTCTTTTACAGATGCCTGAAGAAGAAGCATTCTGTGTACTTCCTCACATGATGAGTTACCACAATCTGAGAGCTAGAGCTATAAAAGCCAACTAGCCAACCTGTCAGTCCGGTTTTACCAGCAGAAAACCCAGTTGAGGTGAGGAAAAGGATTGAAAATGATTGAGTGACATGTTTCATATTTTTAAGAATTATTTCCAAGATTGGATGTATTTCAGATCACTAGTCAGTCATGTTAAATTAGGATTAGTATAATACAATGGTGAATGTACAGTATATTAAAGTAATGATATTGTTTTGGTTAAAATTATATGTGTACATGTCCATGTCCTCCCTTTAGTGATTGTACTACTAATATAATTTACATGTATGTATTATGTTGTCGATATTATTACATCTAATTTATTATTATTATTAATTTATTATTATTTTATTTATTTTCTCTATTTTAGGGTTTCTATACTCTTATGTACTCCAGCTCCTGGTTCCTGACTCTCTTTGCCTCCACTCTTCCTTTGTGTGCTGCACTTCAAATACTAGATATACCTGGTATTCCTGATGGACGGGATTGAGGTAATATTCTGTGTTGGTCTGGCACTATTGGAGCGAAAGTCAAAGGAAACTCTTGAAGTTACACATGGAAGACATGACCAAAGTAATGACAGCATTGTTGTTATTATGTTAACAAACCTAAAGGCTGAGTAGTATATTGAAGACAATTTAAAGCATGAACATGTTACATGTAATTGTTGGTTTTAAAAATGTTCATAACTCAAAAAATTTAAGTCAAATATGGCTCAAACTTTCTACATAACATAAGGACATTAATATGTATCAGAAATTTAATAAAAATTGGGGAGGATTTTTTGCCATTTTTTTGGAAAAAAAGCATGGGTTATTATAGCCTTGGGCATCTTTCAGATTTTGGCAAATTTCTTAAAATAGTCACAACTTTAAAATTTAACTCACAATTGGCTCAAACTTTCTACATGACATTAGTCGACATCAATCAATGTGTATCAGAAAATGTAATAACAATTGGAGGTAATTTTTTAGCCATGTTTCAGCCTTGGGTATTTTTCAGATTTTGCAAATTTCTTAAAATTTAATGGCCTTAACTTGAAAATTTAAGTCAGAATCAATATAATTTATTTACATGTATTTCTATTGCATTTTCAAAAAAATGAAGTCTGTATCGGAGGAAGACTGTGACGCTCTATTTGAGGCTGCCTTCAGAATTAAAATATCTTCAAAAAAACTGAAAAGTAATGAGAAAAAGAAAGAGTGAAGGAGAAAGAGAGGGAGGGAGGGAGAGGGGAAGAGAAAGATCATCTTGTTTTATTTCTAGGATGAAGAAAAAGTACAATTAAAGGAGGGAAAGGCAACAAGTAAAAAACTCGGAATTAACTGTAAGCAAAACACGTTACATGACCTTGCTCTCGATCACATGACTTTCATGTGATAATTGCTTGATTTTTAAAAGACTTCAAAATGACAATTATGAGTTGGAAAAATGAATTTTAGCTCTAGAGAAGGAATGTGCAGCTTTGACTGATCGTCTAATACAAGTACAAGATTAAAATTGCATTAATATTTTATTTTATTCATTTATTATATTTATTAAGGGGCAAGTGACCAGAGCCCAGGAATATGAAGAGGTGTATGGTGTTAGAAGAGAATTGACTACTTTAAGAAAGAAAGTGCCATCCTTTGAGAAGAAAGAGGAATCACAAAACAACCACGTACACAATGTAATTAAATAATTATACATGTATACATCTATTATTATTGCAAGAATAATGCACATGTACATGTAATTAAAATTTACAAATTTTGGTTTGCATTTAGTGTACAGTACGTATCTCAGCTTTACCACACTTTATCATCTTCATTTTCTCTCTCTCTATCTCCCTCTCTTTCTCTCTTGACTCTAGAAATTTTGGTCAAATACTCCTAAAAGTCCATCAAATGAAATATTTGTCTCCGTCATCTTAATAGATTTTAGAGACAGAATGCACATCTGCTCTATCATTAAAAGACACTCCTCAACAGCCTCCACCTCATTACTGGTTTCAATTGAAGAAGGAAATAAAGAACAGAACTCACAGGTAGAGGGTGTAATACTGAATGTGAGGGAATGAGAAAATCCTCTTTTAATGGCATCATTAAAATGATTAAATGTACATGTATAAACTTACATGTACACTGTGTATTACTTGCTGTGGTAAAATAGATGTGCATGTTCATTTTTAGTGTACAAATTTATTGAAATAAAAAATTGATAAAATTTCATGATACATTGTAAATGATGCAATCATTAGACCTCTTAGGTCGTATTAAAAAAACATGTATGCATTGTATACATTGTGTAGTTAGAGTATTGTATTATAGTCCCTTTTCCTTTACATATGTACCATACATGTACATTTACATGTACATGTACATGTGTAGGTATCCACAACTGCTAAGGAAGAAACTCTGACAGCACTTCCAGAAACCTCACTAGCAGATTATTTTGATGTTGAGACCCTCCTGTAGGAACTGCATGGCCATTGTTAAGATTGAATGTGCCGAGTGTGCTGATCTCTTAAAGAGGAAGGTACTGGAACCAAGAAAACTGAATAAGAAATACTCAGATGTACACTGAAAAGGAACTGAAGGAGACTATAGCCCACCTCCAACAAGAGAAGATGAGAAAGTAACGTGTACATGCACACATAATTTAATGTCCATTTTTCATTATGTGTGCTAAATTATGTTAGCAAATGTAGCCAGAGATTTTTCGGTTACGTAAAAAAAGTTGAGATTATTGCAATCAAAATCAAATTTTTATGAATTTTTAAAGTTGCTCAAAAATCTGGTCAAAGTACCTGTACATGGTCAAAGGCCAAATTTTGCCAAAATTGAAAAGGCGCGGAGAGAATTCTCCGGTTTTATATTTGTCCCTGATACATACACTTGTATTTATTTTGCATAGACAGTTTGAGCTAATTCCGATCAAAATTGGATTTTTCATGAGGAATAAATATAATAACATGTACATGTGTAATTTATGCTTCAATTTACTTTAGTACTTAAAGTTTGATTTTTACCCTAAAGCTTAAGGATTATACCATTATACTGTATTTGAAAACAAAAATAAAACTACTAGTACTTTAGTTACTTGTGTTATTTTCTAGATTTGCCTCAAGTGTGGCTCCAATGCTGTGTCCATTAATGGAGTAGCCTCATCATCAGTCAACTGTGAATCAAGCAAGCAAGCAGTCACCATAGACACCATAGAAGACCATAAACTACAGTTCAACAAGATTTCATCTAATTTTAATAATGTGATACAGACACCATTAGAGTACAATTCAAGAGGAAGCCTATCCACGTACCAGTATATGAAACCATTTACATCTATAGCTACTTCTCCTGGAGCTCCTGTGAACCAGTATTCAGCAACCATTGCCTGCCCTATGTATCAATTGTACAACCAATCAACACAGAATGGTTACATCTCTTTGGGTTCACATACAAATTACTCTCCTTATTGTAGTTATTTTCATCAATTATTGTCATCCAGGACTGCTGCACTCTCCTGTGCTGCTGGTAGGACATCGCACATTAATGAGACTATCTCAGAAGGCTCCAATAGTGGACTCATAGCTGGTGGCAATGCTACTGCAATGGCCATGCAAGGTAGCAGCAAGACATAGCACTCATAGCCATGTCTATGAATGTGCCCCACACAAGCCGGCTACTTTGAACAAGATCTGCCAATTCATCAGAGACCATTTCCCTTACTACTGGCAGAATTGTAAGCAAGGCTGGGAGAGCTCTATATCAGGCACAATCTTTCCTTAACAAGTGCTTTGTGAAACAGCCATGGGAGCAAAGATGCCCTGGAAAGGACACTACTGGACACTGGACAAAAAGCTCTGAGAATAGCCAATGCAAGAGGTGCTTTAAGAAGAGAGACGTTATTGGAGTAGAAGACCATCCAGATATGTTATGGTGAAATAATAATAGATTATTTAATATACCAGTAATAGGAGTAGACACTGATGATGCTAGAGAGAGAGAGAGAGAGATCATAAAATTTTTATAAGTTAAAAAAAGGAACATACAATGTACACATGTACATCATAGTGTACATCATGTATAATTCTGACCCTGCAGTTCTGTTACATCAGTACATAAGATAATACGGTCTTGATGTGCATTACTTAGTAGTGTCTGAAACTATATATATAGTGGAGAATAAGTTGTATAGAAAAATGGAGAATATACAATACCAGTACACTTTATGAAGGAGAGGGGGATTTATAACAAAAAATTAACCAGAGCTACTATTAAAACAAAAATTTAGGTACAGATTTCCTGGGTGTGGTCAACATTGACATGAATAATCCTTCAACATTTTTATTGTTCCAGATTCCAATTAACTAGATTAATTCATTGGGATTAAAAAGTTATTGTGGTTCATACCATAATAAATGCTGCAATGAGAGGGAATACTGAGAGTAGGACAGCAGTGAGACGTGCATTAATCCAGAACACGACGCCAACTGATATGATTGGTTGTTGGGTAGCAAGAGACATTCTATGTGACAGCACTTTAAATGACAGCAGTGTATGAGGCTAGTCTATTGGTTAGCTCACCAGTTCTGGGAAAAGAAGAGGGGGGGAAGAGAAGCAATGCTTATTGCATATTTCACATAATATCTATGATTTTGGCATGTCTATACATCAAATGGTTAAATCATCACCCACACAATTCTCAGCCCTAGAGTTATAAAGTCATCAGCTTATCAGCAACTTGATAGCAAGGGAAAGTTATGAAACAAACAACTAGAACAAGCAATTCCACTGATTATAGTTCACATGAAAGATCACTGAATAGTTCTGTGTATACAATGCACAGTAATAGTATATCTTTAGCAAAATTGTTTTTACAATAGTATACAACTCTCCTGCCATACCGGGTATAAGAGAACTACAATGTAGTAGTTATGACAGCTATAAAATTGTTTAATTTTATCTGAGCTACCATTGTAAAAACAATTTTGCTAAAGGTATACTATTACTATGCATTGTATACACAGAACTATTGATCTTTCACTTGAACTGCGATTAGTGGAATTGCTCATTCTTGTTTGTCTCATAACTTTCCCTTGCTGATGATTTTATAACTCTAGGGCTGAGGATTGTATGGATGATGATTTGACATTTTGATGTATAGACATGCCAAAATTATAGATATGTAAAATTAGTCTTGCAGGGCCTGCAAGGTCTGCGAGACTAATGTGAAATATGCAATAAGCATTGCTTCTCTCTTCCGTCCCCTCTTTTTCGCAGAATTAGTGAGCTAACCAATAGATTAGCCTCAGACCCTGTTGTCATATGAAGTGCTGTCACTATAGAATGTCTCAGTACTAGCTCATTACATAAAAACAAATCATATCAATGGGCATCATGTTTTGGATTAATGCATGTCTCACTGCTGTCCTATACTCTCAGTATTTCCTCTCATTGCAGCATTTATTATGGTATGAATGAAAATAACTTTTTAATCCCAATAAATATCACTAATCTAGTTAACGGGGATCTGGATGTCTCATGAACTATATAATTATTATATATCACACTGATACGTATCATGATGTTATCTACATGTACATGTAGTTCTGCTGAAGAGAGGCAGCAATCATTTATGCCATGCAATGCATGCATGGTTTTCCTATTTGTTTGAATATAACTTATTTGCTGTGTAATATCACACTGTAGATTTATACCCATTCATTAT